TGCAGTGTGCCACTTACTTTCCTAAAAAGCAAAAAAAAAAAAAGATTTTTCCAACGACCCTTTCCTTCCACATAGTCAACTTCCATTATGATGGTCGGAAGAACGTTGGTTTCAGATTGAGTTTTGTGCCCTTTAGACAATTTGCAAAAGGGAGGGATGCCTTCTTGCAAAAATAGGTTGTTAATCTACTTTGGACAATTCTGGGGATTTTACCAATACCGTAAATTTAAAATTAATAGATCCTAAATGACCTAATGAAATGCAAATTAGAGTAAACTTGATGTTCATTCAAACAAGCAATTACATGAACTAATTTGGCTACTTAAATGCTAAAGACAACTTAAATCTATTAGGATCTGTGCTAAAACTGAAATCTGCAAACTAAGGTAAGCAATCACTACGAAACTAGAAAATTGAAAATTTGATGAGTTTTGTGTAGGGTTGGACGTCGTTTGTTGAAAAATCTGAAAGCTTCCTTTTATACGCTTCCTGCAAACTATCCTCCTATTTCACCTGCGGGCTGTTACAGATCATGGATAATTTCTCCAAAAAAAATAATGGAAACATTTACATTAGATCTTGTCACCTGTACATTTCTGTTGCTACCTTAACCTCTTAATTCCACTTCCTAAATTATAAGAATTTCAGTTTTTTTTGAATTTAAACTACAACCTACCAAATAATCTCCACCATTCCCCAAAATCAAGTTTTGCATATCTAAATCTCAACAATAAATCTAACGTGACCCCATCTTAGCCATTAGCACGTGGCATCACTTAAAAAATTATAATTTATGGTGTAAATAAGTTGCATGATAGGAGATATCCTTTTTTTATTTCTTAACTCACCCAACTTACATACCATATAATTCCAACTAATCATAATTTACTTTAGCTACATGTCATATAATTCGAACTTACAATCTCTTACTTTCATAAAAAAAAAAAATTATTATTGAATTATTTAAGTCATTAAATTAAAATATTTTCTTTTCCTCAAAAAAATAAAAAATAAATAAAAATAAGACTATCTAAGTTCTTTCCTCAACAAATAATGAAAATCCTATAGAATTAAACAAATAAATATAATTTTATAGGTAGGTCTGATTTATGGTTCAAATTTTTAATTTTATTAGATGTGCCTGATCAATATGTAGTGCCCTTTTAAGATTGATTAAAAAGAAGTTTATCTTGATATACGTGTAAACTAATTTATAGACACTATAGCGCTTAAAACCCCTCCTTGGAGCCATCCATATATCATTAAATCAAGGCTAAAACTGCACATGAGAATCTAGGAAATTTTAACTCATCATTCGTTAGTTCTTCTCTATCTCCTCTTTGCATTATTAGTTTGTGCATATGGTTTAAAGAAAGAGAAATTTTGAAGAGTCCAATTCACTTCTCTTGGATTATTTTAGACAACCATACAATGTGATCGAAGGGTTCAATTTATATGAAAAAGGACAGACGCCCAATCCAATTATTTAAAAAAAAAATTATTTTGTAGGAGAATTATAGAAAATTAAGACATTGTGGTAATTAAAATATCAAAAATAATAATAAAAAATACTTAAATATACTTAATTAATCCACATGTAAGAAAAATTTATTAACATTATTTGAATAATTTTATAAATAGTTCTAAAATTTTAAATGCCAAGATGGTTTGTATCCTTAGTCTAGACACCAATTGATACATCTTCTGATTCAAAATATTATATAATATATTTATTAAAAAATCATTATTTACTAATTTGAAATTAGAGACAAACAAATTTAAAAATGTAGTTATATATATAAAATATAAAAATTGACTAAATCAACTATACTTATATTAATTTTAATGACTAAATCAAATGGGTATCAAAAAGTGTATCGAATTAAAAGGTACAACAATAATTTTCCTTTTATATCAACCTTCCGTATAGAATTGAAAACATGGAATTCTCTCTTTTGGTTCTTGTATATATATTTTTTTTAATGAATCAAAATTTTATTAAAAGTACAAGAGATATTTCAATTCACTTGACTACAATCTATCGTTTGGTTTCTTATTAATAATTAGTCCTTCTAGCTCCATCGATTGACGCCAGTGTAACTGAAGAACTTATGTTTGTAGGGCAATCCCTTTATGGCTTCCTTTAGCTTTATGTTGAAATGATAAAGTAAACCTAAGAATCAATGATTGGCATCCTAATTTCATTTGTTTGATTCACATTTTCACATGTTATTGTAACTTCAATTAGCTTTATAGAGTCCCACCATGATTATGAAACTTACCTAAAGCCGAAAGCAAGTTGCATTTTTCTGTATTTCGGACAATCTCGGAAACATCTTACATCTATGAAACTTCCCTATAGAAAGAGATGGCCAACAGATCTTTTGTTACCCTACATTATCGATGAAAATCTTATAGTTTCTTGCTCATGATACACAAAGTACACCACCATTTTCTGTTTCTCCCTGAATGTAAGTGCCACGACGACGCTCACTCCCAAATCTCTTTTCATCCATCTACTGTGATCGATGCTTTTCTTCTTGTCTCAATTTCTATGTCTATAACAAGCTATCAGAATATAAAGATCTTCTATGTACCAGACTAGTTGATGTCAGAATATTTTACTTGGTCAGCTGAAAGAGAGATAGAGAATTGAATGATTAAGAAACTAAACCCTGTTTGAGTCACAACGATGTGATTAAGAACATCTGTGCATGTTTAAATCAACTGGACATGTATGTACAGTATCGATTGGGATGAGTATGTGGACAAATGTGAAAAGACAAATGTTAAGGTTTTGTCATAATGACCACTTCAATTGTTTGGCAAACATGTCCTACATCTTTATCCTGACCGCTCAACTTTATGGAGGGAAATTAATGGCTGCTGTGTTTCTATGATTGTATCCAAATAAGCAATAAAAGACAACAAAAACCCTATAATTCAAGTGGTCATATGTCAGAGGATGGTCTGCCATCAAACATTCATCATTACCCGATTATGCAACTCCATTAGAACGCAAGTATCTTTTCTTACTCTAATTGCACCATCCACCATGATCTCTTGTTGTTCCCATTTCAATTTCCCCCTTTTGTTTGCACTAATCCTTTGAAAGAGACAAGTATACACACGAAATTAGTAAAACATATTAATTTAATTGGTTTAACTAATCCTTCGGACTTAGAGTAATTTGGTCGTTATCCAATAGTTGTTCGATTTTTCAGCGGGACCTAATTTTTGAAACTTGGTGATGCATTGCCCCCACAAGACTATGTCTTGACCTCATCAAAGAGAATCAAATGAGTGTATTATTGAGGCCACACAGAATGCAACAGGACAGATTAACTGTATTTGAGTAATATATATCTGTTTGGAGGAGGTTGCTGACAATTCAAGCAAGCTCTAGCTAGTTCCATACATCCTGAAATTTGTACTGTTCATTGCACTGACTGATGGTATAATGGGTGACTTGGGTATAGTGGGTGGAGCTATCGTATCTAAGAAAAATATATGTCTCTTTTGTGTTGGATCTCAGACATGAGTAGTGGGTGTTGGGTTTCTGTTGAGCAAAAGCTAAGGGGTTGAATACAAATGGATGCAGCTATATCCTGTCCTCTTGTATTTGATGATATTTGCTTGCTTTTTGTTCTGATTCATTTGCCTTTCTATCAAAATCAAAGGTTCTGAAATCCTCGCTCTGGAGCTGTGCCAGATTTGACTCATTAGGGCTATCAAATTATGAGTTTCAACAGTACATGCTATTGGAAATTTCAAAACTTCTTTTCCCTTTGTTACATCCTACTGATTCACTGAATCCCATTTATTAAAACAATTCCTAGCTTAAGTAATTGAAAGTAAAAAAAAAAAGGCATTTGATAATTAGAAAGCTAGAGAGACTTTGGATGGTTTGTGTGAGTAATCAATTAATAGTGTAGAAAGCTGCCCAACTTGGCCAACTTCACTACCTTTTTCATATCATAATAAAAAAATGTACATGTTCAAAATTAAGTTTTTAATTATGTGAACTATGTTTTTCGTCTAGGACTTTAATTTTGTATACCTCTGAGATAGATTGTGCAGGTTTGCCTTTTGATTTTAATTTTGCAAGTAAATCGATCATTAGACAAACAAGAGCATCGCTGAAAACAAACATAATACCCAGGTCAATGTGATATGTAAAAGAAAGAGATTGAAGAAAATGAGTTGATAATTAAAATATCAAGAATAATAATAAAAATATAATATATCTTGAATGAATCTGATTTTAATAATTTTAAAGAGAATCTTGATATTTAAAATACATGTCAAAAACATCATAATTGGGACATTTATCATAAAAGAATATTACTATGCTAATGTAATTTTTCTACATTTGTTGTACATGATTTATATGTAAGATACTGCATTCTAATTTTTAAAAATAAAATTCTTGATCACGTTTCTCAATATTCTAATTTGAAATTTTAATTTAGAAATAGCAAATTGTAACTATTGGGACATATTCAAATTGATACAATGAGAATTTTGGTATCCACAGAAGCAAAAACCCAGATGATAGATTGAATTTCAAAGTCCAGTCGCTGCATATATTCTTCATTTCCATTTCAAATCAATTGTTTAATTATTGATCATAACATCAAATTTTAAGGATTGAAAATAAGGATTAATGTATATGCAGAGAGTTGAAATCATGTCCACTTTTATTGTCTTTTATCTTTTTCTTCTTTGCAGAAGGGACACATTACTTGCATGTGGTGGCCTTTCTAAAAACCCCTTGTTCATTCAAGAACATACCCAACAGGCTTGGGTTCCTTCGAACCCACCCAGGCGCTGGGTTCTGGCGTGGGTTCCATGGAACCCGCGTCTGGGTTCCTTGGAACCCAGCGG